GTGAACTTGAACTCTTTACAGGCGTTTGGGATTGCTGCGTTTTGTAACGCGGTAAGGTCACGTAGAGGCTGCTTACCGGGGCTAAAGCAGCTTTATTATCGGCGGCTGTTTGGGCTAGCTAACGTTAAACGGTCCTAACGAACAGCTAAACCGGAAGAGCGGTTTGAATCGGGACACGTTCATTAAACAGGTGAGTGACGGTGTTTTGTCTCATGCTGTCCTCCAGCTTTTACACCCCCAAGCTCTGTCTGGGGTTTATTTTGAATGACATGCTATAATATTATCCTCAAAAAGATGTCCTGCGTGTTAAACTACGGCTTTATATATATTTATAATGTTTAAAACCTCAGATCTGCCTCTTTTCCTTAACCTCCGAACAGTTTCTGAGCAGCAGCTCTGCAGCCTCCGGAGTTTCTCTGCTTCTTATCTTATTTTCAGTCCTTGTAGCTGAGTGTTTTCAGAGGAATGTGTTTTTCTCTGTTCAGCCTCTGAACTCTGAGTCATTCAGGCAGAAAAAAGGCCCCTAACTCAAGGGATGAGCCAGCTCTGTGTCCAATCAGCAGAGCAGCAGCTTAACTGGACACAGAGAAAAATTAGAAGGATAAAGATGAGTTTAAAAAGTCTTCATCCACCTTTAATTTCTTCATATTTTCCCTCAAAGCAGACAGACGTCCTTTCAAGGGTTTTTAGTGGTATTTATCCAGGATTTCTGAGCTTAATCTGAGTTTTTGTTTCGGATATTTTTTACTTCTTCTCTCATTTTTAATGAGTTTTAATCTTTGCTGAGTCAGAAAAAGGCCCCTAACTCAAGGGCTGAGCCAATGTCTGCAGTTTAAAGTGGATCACAGAGACTCATCATCTGTTCTGGAGCTGAAGGAGGGAAAAGGCCAGAAACCCATCAGACAGATAGGAAACAGAAGTCCTGAGGATTCCCAAAGAGCTGCTGCTGGAAACTGGTCAGAGGTCGGGTCCCAGCTGTCTCACTTTGTCTGTGACCAGTTAAAATGAACTCTGTAAACCCTTTTGGGTTCATCCCAGCCCCTCAGCAGCTTCACAAATCCACACTTCACATGTTTTTTTCTGCAAGGGGGAAGTGTTGAAGTGACTGAAATATGATCAAATCTGTGTATTTTCTTTAAATCCGTGGAGCTTTCTGCTGCTACTTCCTCTGAGCTCTGGTCTCCCTCCTCAGACCCTCCGGTGAGTGTGCTGCTGCGTTCAGGGGCCGTCTGAAAGGTGGACGTCCAGGCAGCTGAGGGCTCCGGCTGGCTCTGCCCCCCCCCCCCCGATAGACGCTAGGCTCCCCCGGTGTGTGCAGCATGTGTGAGTAGTGGTGTGTCTGACCCGATGGCCCGGCACAGCAAGCTGCAGAAGCAGGTTCTGGCCCTGTACCGCCAGTTCCTGCGGGCCGGCCAGGACAAGCCGGGCTTCCTCCCACGCATCCGCGACGAGTTCCGAGAGAACGCGCGCATCAAGAAGAGCGACGTGATGCACATCGAGTACCTGTTCCGGCGGGGCCAGAGGCAGCTGGAGCAGATGAAGGACGTCAACACCAAGCAGCTGGGAGCCTTCTCCAAGCCCAAGGAGCCCGGCTGAAACCATGGCAACCGCCACAACGCCACACCTCAGAGACTGGCTCAGCGCCCCGCTGCTGCTGGGACCGGACACACGCTGACCAGCTGCAATAAAGCTCCTGATAAGACCAATACAAGCTGAATTACCTGCCTGTTTGATTTGGAGAATGAATAGATAAATAAATCTGACAACAGCTAAATGATCACATGATGAAAATTAAGATGTAAAAAGGGACTTTTTTCAACATACATTAGAACATCTGCTCATTTATCAGCAGCATTTTGTGTATTTGTTATTGGGACGTTTATTTTTTAGTTATCTTTACTCTAAATACATCAAAGATATCTTTCCACAAGTCTTACTGCCATCACTTTACTCACGATTTTATAAAATCGTTTAATGACTTAAACCAAACATTATTGATGACATATTCACCCCTTTGGGATATTTTTCCACATCAAAATAATGATCTGCTCCTGACTTGTGAAGCAGGTCCAAACACGCCGCACCGTGGCGCTAATGCACTTCCGGTGTCCTGATGGAGGCGCAGAAGAAGAAGCTGATGACGTAAACAGGAAGTGGGGCGTCGTAGAACACAAACAAACTCCAGTTTTCGTAGTTTTCAGTTGGAACTGGTTTTAACAGCAGCTGTTGGAGACGTTCAGGGGTTTTATTTTAGCGGAATATTCCCTCTGTTTAGTTTTTGGAGAGTTTTTTTGGACGTTTGTCCGTCATGTTCGGTTCCGGTGGAGAGATGAGCAACGCTCAGCTCCTTCAGCAGGTAAGAAGAGGAGCCCGTGTGTTTGTTTTTCTGCTGCTTTCAGGGCTGTTTTAAGTCTTCCCTGTGCCCTCCACACTAATTTAGATGTACGTGTTTGGCTCTGGATGTCAAAACAAAAGTAGACAGCAATAAAATCAGTAAACGAAACAATCCTGAGCTAAAAACTCAAAGTAAATAAGTCAACTTCAGCCTTCACCAAACAAGATGTTTGTCTTCCGTTTAAATCCCCATTTAGGATGAAATGCTCAGCTTTCAGAGCAGAAAGTGTGGCAGTGTGAACATCTTCCCTGCACCCTGCTTTAGGAATGTGTTTTCCGGGTGATGATGCTTTATGAACAGAACAGTCTGTGTTTAACTGTGAGCTTCAGACATGAAAACCTGCAGGCCGACAAGGAGCAGACCTTCATCCCGAGTTCATCTCCTGCTGCGTCTCACAGATATCCATCTATCTATCTATCTATCTATCTATCTATCTATCTATCTATCTATCTATGGATCTCTCCATCTATCCAGTCAGATCTCATATCAGGTCGTATAGTGAGAACAGAAATCGTGAGCTGTGAACTTTGACCCCTCTGATTTGGTGGAACAGTTTGAGCTGCAGCT